TATCATGACTCACTACTTTCACTCATCTATGCTGAAAACAACTGACTTTTGTTATATATTAATTTATATCTCTTAAGACATATGTTAATTACATAATTCCAATTTTTCATTTATCAAAATATTTATTACACAATTTTTAAATTATTTTTAAGAAAAACTGTCCCAGACGACTTGCGAGGGCTAAAAACGTCAAAAAAAACTCTTTTTTTGTTTGTTCACAAGGGGTTGGTTGTAATTTCAACAGCCTTTTAAGTTACTTTTGCATTTGATTCAAGTTTGGGTTTACTTTTGCATTTCAAATCAAGTTTTGAGTCATATTTGGCAATTTTCCCATATTTTAGAGACCAATATTTGTGTTGGTCACTTTATAATCAATAAAGATTATAGTGTTACAAAATGTTAAAACCGAACAAACATAAATATAAAAAATTCATTCCGCACAGGTATTATCTCGTATGTTATATTAGATATTATAATGTTGTTTTACCGTTGACAAAAATAATAATAATGTTGTTTTACCTTTTCCTGCAACGGGTGGGACAAAATACTAAAACAACTAGTTTATCAACAACTTGAGTAGGAGAAAGTACTACAACAAGTTGTCTCTTTCTTCATATATATTTCTGTAGAGCTGAACACGAATCAACCGTACCAAAATTACATGTAAAATGTGCTCGCCAGAAATCAGATTCAATTGATATATCATTTGTATATTTTTTCCTAAATTATTCAAAATTTAATCCAAAGTAAAAATACAACATAACTTTTTATTTTAATCTTACATCTCAAATCATAAATTTTTTATAATTTCAAATTTTATACAAATGGACTGATCAGCCGAAATGGGAATTTACTACTAACAATAAGTACAAATATAGCATATATACATATACATTTAGAAACAAAAAATGAAAATATACAAATGGCATATGATGGAGAGGGAAACAGTTCAACTGTCTTAATACGAAAAGTTTATTTGGTCATATCACTGCGTAATGGATCAGTCAAATTTCTATAGATTGGTATAATCACCACCACCACCACAAAATTCTCAATTGGGGATATTTTCAATGAGCAAAGAGACGATGTACTCTTTCAAGAACTCGGGGTTGGTGTAAGCATCTGCATACCTATAGAAAACATCGATGACACGCGAAAGGCTTAGAATTCTGATCAACAAAGGGAAACTAAATGAGTGAGGCCTCATTAGCTCTTGGTTTAAGTCCTTCCAAGCATTTGAAACAATGTTGACTATTTCTTGAACGGCTCGTTCCTTCGAAACAAAAAATTGCTTCATATAACAATCAATGCCTGTCGCTACATGCCCCCTTTTGTGTTCAAACTGCAATCGTAATATGTCAAGTGTATGCAATACTTTGGCAAAAACAATTATTCAGTGGGCTGTCCATGTCCAAATGAACATTTTATTTGTGTGGAGATTGATGGCAAATTTGTTTTAACCTAATTTTATAATCATTTTGAGCCAACCAATGTCTACGCAATAAATTCCACTTTTCCCTACATAGAAAATTGGGCTTAGCTATTTTAGTCCGTTTCATAGATGATTATGTCCAAGATTGGCACATGTTTTTGAATGGGCTACTCATAGACAACCCGCCTATTTGAAATCCCTACTTAAATATTTAGAAGTTTAAACTCAGAATTTGGTGCTCACCTCGTAGCTAGTAATGTCATTTGTAAATCGACATACTATCTCAGAAGCTACCCTTATTTTAGGATGTGAGCTTAACCATTCAAAAGCATCAAGTTTCGCAACATCCCCCATTCCCGCAAATGTCATGGCCATCATGGTATAGTAAGCGGAAGAAAAAATAGCATTCTCTTTGTACTCGTCAAATTTGGCAGTGTAATCCTTTCTCAACCACTTCGCCTCTTGCATGTATCCATTGGTTGTTGATTTCAACTGATTATGAAAATTTCAGTTAGGGCTAAATATGACGCTTTCAAAAAAAAAAGAAAAAGAAAAACAATTCGAGTGTTCTAAAGGTCTTAACTGATTTCTTAAGATGGGAGCCACAACCTGATCTTCCTTGCTTCTCAAGCTCCTCCTCGAGTTTATCATAGAAATCTATTGTGACACGGTACAGATGTTTCATGCTGTCAGGTATCCCGTTAGGGGCTTCGGGAAACCACCTGTATTAGAGCAAGGCATGTTGTAAGCCAGCCTTCCAATAGTAAAGAATATTTAGAAATCTTTTATGTTTTTGCAAATCGAGTACTTTTCCAATGCATATGTGAAAAGCTCAAGTTCCTCTCTTGTGCCATACGCATCATACGTATCATCAAGTGCTGTGAGTAAGATGACTACACTGGCTAATGTAACTCGTGCTTGAGAATATTCAGGCCCGAAGTATGTTCCAAGTGCCCACAAGTACGCCTCGGCTACTCTATGTTTTGTGTATGTTATTTTAGATTCAAATTCCATTTCTTTGTGCCACCTGAAAGTAATGCAGAAGGTCATGAAGTAATTAATGGAGAAACAAATAATAAAGTAAAAATCAAAATTGCATCTAGGGTTAATTGATTTTCTCCTAAATAGCCATGAGGGATAAGTAAGTCACTTTTCCTTTGCTTAAAGACTGATCGGAGTAAAATATAAAAAAATGATTATAACTTTTGTCTGATTGGTTTATAGAGAAGCTGAAAGAGAGTATTTATTTGCTAATATATAACGCTATTGTTGACAATAGCCTATACAAATTAATTATCGTCTTTATATTTTACATGGAGAGTTCTCATTTTACCATAAATTTAATATCAAATTTCAAATTTACCTTCAAATTAACTATTTTTTTTTTTTTGAATGAATGTAAAATTGAATTCAAACAAAAACCATATTACATCAAAGTGCATCAGTTTGTTGAAAGAGGAACAAACCCCATTTACAATTTAAGAAACTAAAGAAGATAAACCAAAGTCACTAACACCCCCCCTCAAATTCAACCATATGGAACAAGTCAAAAATGGAGTGACCATGAAAATCTCCTCATTAAAACCTCTATAATGAAAACCCAAATGGGACAAAACATTATAGAGGAAAAAGAGTAAGATATCATGATCAGGGGAGTGTATGGACTGAGACAAAGACAGAAAAAAAAACCCAGAATACCAGAATACCAGCAAATCAGCAAACCCACCCTTTGAGCCGAGCAGCAAACCACGAATACACCTCCAACCAACAGAAGGAACAGCCACACACAACCTGTCCAACATTTCAGGCTCAAACTCTACTAAACCACGTGACTAATCCCTTCTCGAGATAACTTCCTCTTCCTTGGACAGAAAGAAGTTTGAGCCTAACACATTTATCAACCAACTTAGTTAAACAGCTTATATCTCTCGGAGACTCTCCATGCCTGCGCAAATTTCTTTCCCACCAAATCATGTACATGGTAGTTTGCATAGTGTAACGAAGAATAAAGGTCATAATGGGGTTTAGCCAACTTGTTGAGACCATCGCAATCAACTCACTCCAGGATATAGTGAAGCTATCTTTCATGAAATCTTCCATCAGAGTTTTCCAGATCCTACTCGTGTATCTGCAGTCAAAAAAGAGGTGAGAACAAGTCTCTGGAGCATCATCACAAAGCACACAAGTGATATTAATATGATTGTTCCACTGAATCATTCTATCAGTCGTTTGCAGCCTTCCTCTAACTGCTAACCACATCATAAAAGCATGTTTAGGAGTGGCATGAGAAAACCAGACCCCCTTATGCCAATTACAAGTAGGTCTCCTAGTACGGGTAAGCTCCCAAGTATGCCGCGTGGAGAAAGTCTTCATGTATTTTCCCTCCTCTCGCTTCCACATAGCAACGTCTTTATCTCCACAGATTTGAGTATTATGAATAACATCTTCAATCTGGTTCAAAACATCAATTCTGTGATTCCTTCGTCGCCTATTCCTCTTAGCAGCAGCCACAGTATAGTGGTCAGGGATACCAAGATCCAGAGGACCTCTAACACCAAGAATCTCAATCAAAGAGCATCCAAATCTGGTCCAATTTTCATACCAAAAGGACGTGTCTTCGCCATTTCCAATATCTTTCCTCATTAAGATTTTTGCATGATCTCTAAGCTTGAGAAGCTTCCTCCACACCCAAGAACCAGAGTTAGTATTATCTTTAATTGCCCAAAAAGAACTTTTGCGAATCAAATAACACCGGAGCCACTGAACCCATAGAGTAGATTCCGAGGTAATGCGCCAGATAAGCTTAAGCCCGTACACTCTGCTCATATCTTTAAGGCAACGCAAACCCAAGCCACCTTCATTCAGAGGAACACAAATATCTTTCCAGCTTACCTTTGCCTTTGTGGTCTTAAGATCAGGACCAGACCATAAAAAGGCAGAGCAGAGACTTTCAATTTCCTTTAAACAGCTTCCGGGGAGACGAAAAGCTGCCATCCAGAAGTTAGCAAGGCTTGTAATAACCGATCTAATGAGCTGAAGGCGACCTGCGTGAGACAAAAATCTCCCAGTCCACGACCTCATTCTTTTCCTGATTTTCTCAACAAGAGGCAAATAGTCATTAACAGTCATGCGTTTAGTAAGAAGAGGTAGACCTAAATACCGAACTGGTAACTTCCCAGTAGCAAAAGGAAAAGCCAAGAGAATGTCCCTCTCATTATCCTCATGGATACCCGCAGTGTAGATGGTGGACTTTTCAAGGCTAATCTTGAGCCCTGAAATGCTTGCAAAGTCATTGAAAACCCCAAGAATCCCTTCTATAGATCTTTTGGTACCATCAGTAAAAACGAGCAAATCGTCAGCAAAACACAAATGAGATAGATGGATGTTCTTGCATCTAGGATGGTATCCAATCAGCTGCTTTTCCACTGCCTTATCAAGCATATAAGAGAGAACGTTAATACAAATAACAAAGAGGTAAGGAGATAAAGCACAGCCCTGTCTCAAACCTCTTCTACTCTGGAAAAACCGGCTAATTCCCCATTAACCTGAACCGAGAAGGAAGCGGAGCAAACACAGAGCTTAATCCAGTGCACAAAATTCTCTGGAATGTTCAAAGCTCTTAGAGTGTTCAACAGAAAGGGCCATTGCACAGAGTCGAAAGCCTTAGCAATGTCAATCTTCATCGCACAACGAGGAGAGATATCCTTTTTATGATAGTCCTTAATAATTTCGGTAGCCAACAACAGATTTTCAACCAGCAACCGATCTTTTATGAAAGCAGATTGGTTATAGGAAACACACCTGGGAAGGGTACTCTTTAATCTGTTTGCTAAGAGCTTAGAAATCACCTTATACAAAACGTTGCAACAAGATATCGGCCGGTAATCCTTCATCTCTTGAGCACTGTCTTTTTTGGGAATAAGGGCAAGGATTGTAGAGTTCAAACCCTTCGGAAGAAATCCTTTACTGAAAAAAGATTGGATTGCAACGGTGAGATCTTTACCAATAATGCTCCAAGAGGCTCTGAAGAATTCACTTGTAAAACCATCAGGACCCGGACATTTGTTACTAGGCATTTTGAAGACCACCTCCCTTACTTCATCTTCTGTAACCATACGCGAGAGATTTCCTCTTTCAACATCAGTGCACCGAAAAGGAATAATATTCTGGAGCTCCTCAACAGAAATTGCGTGAATATCAGATGGTTCATACGAGAGGAAATCTTTAAAAAATCTCTATGCTTCCTTCTTTATATCATCTTGAGTAGAAACCACCTTACCATCTGAACATTTTATCTCACGGATTGTGTTCCTCATTTCTCTAACCTTCGCAGCATTGTGAAAAGCCTTACTATTCTTATCCCCAACCTGAAGCCAATGGAGCTTAGATCTTTGCTTTAAAACTTTTTCTTCAATGTCGGAGATTCTCTGCCATCTCATACAAGCATCGTGCTCAGCATAAGCATTTTCCTGGGAAGGATCTTTCATCAATTTATCCTGCTTATCACATAAATCAGAAAAAGCCTCTTTAACCTTATTGGTAAGAGCCCCCAACTTATGCTTACTCAGGTTCCGAATATGAGGCTTCAGCCCTTTAAGACTCTTTGAGAACCTGAAGAGAGCCGAAGTGGATTGAAACAAAGGACGGGTTTCTTTCCAGTAGTTGGAAATAATTTCCTTGAACTCTGACGTCTCCGCAATCACGTTTGTAAATTTGAATGGTCTACGAATACCAACAGCTTCTGCTTTTAAATGGAACCTCCCACGCAGGTGGTCAGAAATACCTCCAGCTTCGAAGACTCCATAGGCCTGAGACCGCTTATGAAACCAAGTATCATTAATCAAAATGCGATCCAGCTTTTTACAGATTAACCCCTCATCTCTCTTGTTGCACCAAGTAAATTTCGGGCCCTGATACCCCATGTCCATCAAACTGCAGTGCTGAATCACATTATCAAAATCACGCATACCAGAAGTCAAAACACCTGAGTCCTGATAACTTGAATGTTCCTCCCCATCCAGAATTTCATTAAAATCACCAAGAATCACCCACTCTTTACCTCGGAACATTCTGGAATCATGATGAGAATTTATATCAGCCCATAACTCTTTCCTTTTCTCAGCACTATTGTCAGCATAGACAAAAGAACAAAAAAATTCCTCACTTTCCCCCTCCAGAAGAACAGAAACAGTAATGATTTGCTCCGACTTAAACACCGGAGTAATTCTAACCTGAGAGCTCCAAATAACCCATAATCTCCCTTTCCTGTTAAACTCATAATTATTAATAAACGACCAGCCTTCAAACACAGACGAAACAATTTGAGCAGACTTGCTCTCTTTAACTCTGGTTTCAATCAACCCCCCAAACTGCAGACCTTTATCACGAACCCACTGTTTAACCACTTGTTGCTTCGATGTTTTGTTGAAACCTCTAACATTCCAGAAGAACCCTGTCATTAACAATGATTTTTGTTACCTTGTGTCCCTCCTCCAGGAACAACTTTATGCATTGTTTTCGATCGTCTTGGCAAGGAAGGTCTGATCTTAATTGCAGTAGCTAAGTCAGGCCAGCTCTCATGTGGAATACCTGCTATGTCCCTACTCGGGTTTCCCAAGTCTTTCTCCACAGATTTTAACACTTCTTCATGATCCGTCCCTTCATTACCCTCCTCCTTGCTAAAATTTCCTTCCTCTGTAGTTACATTATGAGCTCCTACAGATTCCTCCTTTTTTTCCTCGCTATCTTTCTCCCCTTCTAGTTCTTCTGATAAATTTTTAGTAGCGCTTATCTCAGCTACCATTGAGTTCATCAAGTCACCCTTCTCATCAACTCCATGAAGAGTGGAGAAACGAGATGGAGTCAGAATTGTCACCCCACCATACTTCAAAGTAGCAATCTTCACAGTTTTCTCTGGTGTTTCCCATTTTTTAATTGCTTCTCCCTCTTCAAATTCTGCTTCTTTTGTATCTTGAGCTTCCAAATCATCGTTCTCTGATTCAATACCAGCTTGCCTTTTTTCATCCACTCTTGGATTATCTTTCTCCACAGCTTCATTCTGCAAAGACTGAGAAGAACTTGTCTCTTCTTTTTTGTTCAAGATGCAAGCTTTCTCTAAGTGACCCCATTTTCTACATGTTCGACACCTAAGTGGTAACCATGGGTAGATGAATTCCACTAGAGAAGCTTTACCATTTTTGGTGAAGTTGATTTTACCCGGGAGTTCCTTAGATAAGTCAACATTCACAAATATCTTCGCAAGCTTGAAATTTGAGCAGGAAGCTGTCTCTGGATGAAGTCTAACCGGGACCCCAGCTGCGCTAACGATAAAACTCAAACCTTGCCACGAGTACATGTTCATTGGCACGTTTTTGAGATGAACCCACATCGAAATTGATTTGATTTCAGGCTTCTCTTTTATCTCATCCGGTGTCCATTTGGTAACAACCAACGGAACATTTCCTATACTCCACATACCCCTTCTTAGAATTCGCTTGCGCATTGCTTGATCTTGGATTCTGAACTTCATTGTTGTATTATCAACGATGTAGACCTCAATCTGTTTTGCATCTCCCTGCTTCCATATTCTGTTGACGATAGCATGAACACGAGCAACGTGTGGGGCTGTGTCAAGGAATTTTCCAATGAGGTAATCCTCCCATAGAAGATCAGCTTTATCAATGACTTCATCTGGTATCTCAACCACCTTACCTCCATCTTTATCCATTATCTGAACATCATATTTCTTCAACACCTTCGTATCCTGTGCCACCGCAGCCCAAGAATCACCTTTATCAGATCCCCCCAAATTTGTTTCGGAACGTTGTTTCACCTGAAGATCCTCCGTCTTCTCAAGACTCTCTTCTTTGTTATTGCTACTCTCCAAATTCCACGTTTGCATCTCTGCAACCCCCGAAGCCCTCTTTTGAGTCGTCTCCATCTCAGATCCTTCCAAATGATCCACCAAATCATTACCCTCCCGTCGAACTCCCGAGATCAGGTTTTCCTCAAGTGAAACCGAAGCCCCCTTTTGAGTCGTCTCCGTCTCAGATCCTTCCAAATGGTTCACCAAATCGTTACCCTCCCGTCGAAACTGTTGATTGACTGAAATCCCCGTCGGAGACCCAGGCAATCCCGGCGGAATCGCCGTCGAAACCATCGCAAGAAAAGTCGCCAAAATCGCCCTATTTTTCTCAAGTCAAAACGCCGCGTTTTTCGCTTCCCAAATTAACTATTTTCATAAATATTTGAAGTTTGTGGTGAATAAAAATTAAACTAACTCTCCCAAATCATTAATAAATGTTTAAAACTATTTATAGAAATTTATAAATAAACATCACTCCTTAAATACTAAACCCTGAATAATAGTCACTAAACATTAAACCCAAATATTATTATATTTTTATTGAGTATATTTTTGAAAAGTGTTATCCACAATTTTGCTTTTTTTTTTTTTTTTTTTTTGAAACACCGGTATCCCAGGTAGGGTCGTCCGGCAATATGTGTTTAGCAGCCGAGATAATACCTTGTTACGCAAGCAAGCTCTTGGCGGTGCAGAATTTGTAGCAAACTAAAGTCAATCTTGGCATATTCAAGTAATGTTGCGTCACACTTCTCTTCTGCCTCGTAGTATGAGATATATTGTCTCGTCTCTATCCTGGAGATGCCTTTGTGAAATGGATGTTTTAGGGCGTTCTTGATGCGTATTGCGAGATGAGGGCTAGACCGAGAAGACATTTCTTCTAGATGAGAGATTGAGAAAGCGAGAGCTTCGTCAAGAGTGTCTTCTCCAGGAGTGCTCCATTGTGCAGCTTCACATAAGCTTAACATGCCCCTAGCATCTGCCGCTAAGTGTGCTTTGAACTTCCCATTCTCGTCTTTGAACTTGTTAAACACATCTTGAGACGTAGATATTAAAAAAGAATTGCATTAAAAAATCAATACCAATTTTTTTTTTTGGTAAACTTCATTCATATAATTCTATATATCCATTTGAAAGGTTTTAAGAATTAAAATAATTAATTACCAGGAGAAAGTTTGAACCCGAATTGCCTGAAAACTTGGAAAACTATTCCAACCGTGTACAAACCATTTCTCTCTTGTCTTATCTTCTGATTAAATTGAAGACAATCAAACAACTTCTCCAGTTGCTCTGTGATATCTTTCTCAAAATGGTAGGAGACACCAAGGCGACATAGCGTGTCGATGAACTTGATGTTCTCTATCGGGTTCGCTCTTGATGCCATAAACGAGTCCTTCACAATCTCGTTTACTGTACTATGCTTCTCTTTAAGATCACTTGCCCATATGGAAGTAATTAGTTATAAGTGAATATGAGTGAATCGAATGACGGTAGGCTATATGCTATAAGGGACTCCAATATTATAAATTATGCATAAATAAATAATTATATAAAATGATATACGCACTAGATCAGAATTTGAGAACGAAGTTAAGATATTTTCCCAGATGTTCACTGGAAATTCAGCTAGTGGACGCTGAACTTCACTCTCCATGCTAAAGTTTTTTTTGGTGTAATCCATGCTAAAGTTTCCGGTAGCAATCGTCTTCTCAAACTGTTTTTTTTTTTGCTAAAATGTTCACTTCGTCTTCTCAACTTAATCACTTGTAGTTCCAGAAAGCTATACCATGTCTCTAGACATATATATAGAAACTGAAAACAATCACTACATTCAGAGTTTTTTCTTTCTTTTTCTTAATAAATATAATAAATAATTTTTAATGATTGAGTTGTGGGACAACTGTTTTCTTGGATCTATACTAGTAAAGATTTAGTTTTTTTTTTTTGGTAAGAGGCTGGGAGAAAGACTCCCAACTTATATTAAACAAACAACTTTCAGTCTACAAAACGAGTGTGCCGTGGCCGTGGGGGTCCAACGACATCCTCTGTCAACAAAACATCAACCTCAGGAGGAACAACATTAAGTTTATGAAAACCAAACGGAAAAGAAAAAGCCAGGTTAGCCACCCCGTCAGCTAAGCGGTTAGCCTCCCTGTAAACATGAACAAAACGGACTATCCAGTCCCTCGTCAAAAAGCCATAGCACAGCCGTACTAGGAACGACAAAGGATGAGTATTACCAATCCCAGTCGTAAAAAACTCAAACACCACTTTCGAATCAACTTCGACTACCAATCTCCGAGGTCTTCGCTCCCATGCGACCACCAGTCCATAATAGACTCCCCATAACTCTGCTAACGTGGCACTACATCTACCGATGTTCAGGGCAAAACCTCCGCACCACTCGCCATCACCATTCCGTAAAACTCCCCCGGCGGTTGCCAGGCCCGGATTCCCGTGTGAGGCCCCATCCGTATTAACCTTCATCCACCCCGCTCTAGGTGGTATCCAACGGACCATTATTTCCAATCTTTGGCCAGTCCTAGTATTTGTCTGCGCTGTCTCATTCGCCTTTGTGATCTCCTTGGCCATCCTTCGAAGAAAGCCAACTCTATCTCTCCAAAGTTTGTTTTCTCCAAAAACATTACCACATCTCCACTTCCAACCCCACCATACTGCCATTGCAAACATCGTGGACCATCTTGTTCCATCCATCCTCTCATTATTTTGAAGATTCATGTATAGCCACTCCAATAGATTCATTGAGAAAAACATCTGTCTCTTCCCAATAGGAACAAGTCTATTCCATATGCCTTCCATCGCCGGGCAGTCCCTAAGAACATGTAAAATTGTCTCAATCCCTCCTTTACATACTTGGCACACATCAGTCCCGCATAGGTGACGTCGATGCCTCTCCGCGTTGGTCATGATAACCTTTGTCCCGACTAACCAGAGGAAGCATCTCACCCTCTCAGGCGCCTCTACATGCCACACTTTTTTAAACAAATTCCCCATGTTTGGTCGCGGGGTGTCATCCATCGTGATCATCTCATACGCCGACTTTACAGTAAACTTGCCATTCTTTGTATAACCCCAGGCCAAGCGATCTTTGCTCCCTGTTATCTCGTCGATCACCACTGCTGCAAGTTCCAGTCGCGTGTCTTCTGTTACAAACGGGGTGATGCGCGTGAGATCCCAACCTCTGCCTTCTAACCACATCTCTCTCGCTGTTAACTCCTCGAGTTCCTCAGGCAGCTCGGCGATGGTCACCGTGTTAAGCGAGGTGTTTGAGAGCCATCTATCCTTCCAAAATTTGATGTCTCTTCCATTGACGTAGGCATGTGACAATTGTCCATGATATATATTAATACATAAAATATTCAGCGGAACTGTCACGATGGCTTTATTATTTGGGTTTCTGGATGCTCCACAGACTGTAGTGACAATAAACCGAGTCAATGGCTCAGATGCCCTTCTATAAAAAATTAAATCACTTATATCCTCCATTAATTTTTATATTCTTCACTATTTTATGAAAATCCCAAATAAATTATTTCCAAGCGATCAAAATTAAACAAAACCCCTCTATGGATCAGTGAACTCATGGGTAAATCTTTAAATTCTATATGTTTCAAATTCGAAAAAAATATATTTTAAAATCGTTTTTAATCATATTTTGATGATTTCGGAAAAATATGAAAAACAGTTTTTTGATTTTTGAAATACTTTTATCAAATTCTATAAATCAAATAAAAAATATTGACGTTTCCAGTTGAGTTTTACGATTTTTCGTTTGATATATAAAATTAGAAGAAAAAAGTGGGGACATTTGAGAAATACGAAATAGATGCAGGAGCTGTACAGCCATTTTCTCCAATAAACCAATACGGTCCATATTATTTTGTTGGAGTATTCTTTACCATTACCCAAAATGGCAACGTTTGATAGATCCTGTTCACAAATTATCAATTCATACGTAAGGACCTATTCCATTTGAACGAATAAAAACAAAATTGAAGGGGCCGTTTTGCCGACGAAAAAACGTGTCCTGGAACCTAATGAAAATTGTAGGAGATGGGTTAAATCCCTCCACAAGGCCCATCAAACGGAGAAACTTAGCCCAACACGATAATGTACTCGGCCTACTAGGTAGCATCAAAACGACTCAGCATGAGACGCGTTTAGTAGCGTGACTAAGAGAGTCGGCTGAAGCACGACTTACCCGGACTACTAAATGGGCCTAATAAGAATCAAGCTCAACAAGGCTCACTTAATCTAGGGCGAACACGGAGACAAAGTCTATAAAAGGAGAGAGGCAGCAAAGGGAAAAGGGATCCCGGAATTCGACATACTCACTTGGCGGCTAGATCTAGGGTTTCTTAGCGACTAGGTGGTTAGATCTAGGGTTTACTCACCTTCCCGTTTAGTCACCTTCCCGTTTACTCACCATCTTGTATTTCCGGCTAGTCCGCCTCTTTACTCTTCTCTTTGTAACTCCTTGTTCAGATCTAATAAAACGTCTTTGTTCGCCCTCATCTCTCTTTATATTGTTCAAACCATTTTCACCTCAAACAATTTGGCGCCCATCTTGGGGCTCTGAACAAAGCAACGTTATCAGATCTAGACATGCCAGACGACGGAACCGTCTCCGGGACCGCCGGGGAGGAGCCGACTCAGACTCCTGTACCCGAAAAACCCCTTCCTCCCGACTTCATGAGCTCCGTCATGGCGCGTTTCGCCAAACAAGACGAGATCCAAAAGGAGACTCAAGCTGAACTCGCCGCACTAGTAGCAGCGTTAAGAGCAGCTCCCGCCGGGCAAACGAGTAACTCTCAACCGTTCCGACGTCATCTCTTCAACACTAACCCGACAGCGCCGGTAGCCGACCATACCTCCGAAGAGTCGGAACCCACCGAGCCGCACGCTGCAGAAACAGCTTAAGTCGGCCCAGATCTCACGACTGTCCGTGAAATCGCCGAGCTCAAACTAAACCTCCAACAGATGAGCTCCACGATTCACAAGGTTACTAGCGCCGCTCCACAGATCGAGAGTGTTCTCGCTTCAACCGAGCGTACCCCATTCACCAGTACGTTGACTAGTGTAAACTTCCGCAAGATCGAGAAGCTGCGCATTCCGCAATACAAACCCGGTGGTGACCCTGTAGAACATATGACCGCCTTCAACATCGCGATGGCCCGAGCGCGGCTACCCGACGACGAAAAGAACGCCGCATACTGTCCGCTGTTCGTAGAGACACTCCACGATCAAGCCTTGACCTGGTTCTCAGCCCTCAAGGAGAACTCCATCAGCAGCTTCAGAGAGCTTTCGTCGGCTTTCCTCAAAACCTACATCATGTTCACTAAGCGAGAAGCTACAGCCTACAGCTTGTGGAACCTAAAGCAGACTAAAGACCAAAGTCTTCGAGACTTCATGGAGCGCTTCAAGTCGATCGTCTCAAAGATCGACATCCCTGACCACATAGCCGTCGACGCTCTTATGAACACCCTCCATCTCGATTCCAAATTCCGAGAGGACCTATACCGAAGCACCTCTACGACGCTCCACGATGCCATAGCTCGTTCACACAACTTCATCCGCATGGAGGAAGACACGAAAGCAATCATGGGCAAACATAGTGCAGCAAAGCCGACAACGCCCAAGACCTCTGACACGAAGCCGGAGCCGCGTCAACACGCTTCCGGCGACAAGAAGCAACAAAAGAGCGGGCTTCTGTTTGTTGTTGATGAGAACAACACACCAGTCGCAAGTTTCTCTGTACGCGGTGAACCATGGAACGTCTACAACCGAGAGACGGCGGCTCTAAAGGGTTTGGCTAGTCCTGCCGGACCGACTCAACCAGCTTCGCCGGCTACCTCAGGAGCCCGATCTTCTAAAGGAGTCGATCTCACCAAACACTGTAAGTAGCATGACGTCAAAGGACACGACACAACCGAGTGTAGAACGATGTACGCTGAATTCCTCTCATCGGTTGAAAAAGGCGACTTCAAGATTCAGCCCCCAAAGCAAAAGCCAAAATCCGGCAAGAGTTGGTCTAAGAACAAAGATAAACGCGCACAGCGAAAGTCCGGTGGTAAAAACGGAGAGCAACGCCGTCCAGACGACAAACCTTCGGATGCCGCGGACAACGAAGCCTCTTCAGGAGACCAGGGGCAACCAGCAAGCCGTCAACGTATTGAGGTAATACGATCTCAGCAACCTTTGTCGTCAGATGATGAGGACGATAACTCGCCAGTATCAAGCGACCTTCGGAGCTTCCTCAAGCGAAAGGTCACTACATGCGATGACGTCAACAGCAAAGACCTCCGCCTCATGCTCCAAGCCAACAAGTCGCGACGCCTAGAAACCAAGGAGCCTCCCTTGTCG